CTAGTAATACACACTCTCATGATTTGGATGATGCAGGAAATTTGAGGTCTGAAGCACCTTGTCATCAAGATTCTGGAGGGACAGCCCTCGATGATCTGGACATTGTAATGGAAGAACTCCGACAGATTCATCAGAAAAATCGCAAGTTTGTGAAGCTCCGCCAAGGTTCACATAATGCTCATAACAATCAGTCAGATCAGACTCACCCAGTTGTTGAAGAAAAGGTAAATGCAGCAATTGAGGTGTTTATCAATCAGAGATCAAGAAACAATAAACAATTGGGAGAAGATAACAAGACCCTCCAATCAAAAGAATTCATGGATGCTCTGCAGACACTAAGTTTGAATAAGGACTTAATCATGAGACTCCTACAAGATCCAAACTCAAGGCTGGTAAAGCAAATTGGAAGTTTGGAGGATGCTCAGTTTGAGGAAAAGCAGAGACCTAACTTGATTTCAGAATCCAATATGTCAGAGGAAAACCATGTTCATGCAAAAACAGATGATGTCATAAACCACAAACAACGTAAGTTTTTCAGGAGGAGGAGCAAGTCTCAAGAAATTTACCCTCCAATGGGAAATGAGACTCCCCGATCCTCAAGTAAAATTGTTATTTTGAAGCCTGGTCCAACAGGCTTGCAATCACCCAGTTCTCAAATCAATGTTAACACTCCAGCGCGCTCGCAATACACAGAGAAACATACTATTCAGAATGAAAGAAACACATCCCAGTTCTCATTTACAGAAATTAAAAGAAAACTCAAGCATGCAATGGGAAAGGATCGTCATGGGATCTCTCCTGAAGGAACCATCCGCCGATTTCCCTCTGAGCAGTTAAAGCGATGTAACAGTGACAGAGGGATCTTTGGAGAAAATTTAGGATGGAGTTCTCCTAATAGAGACCATTTTTATACTGAAAAATTTGCTAAATCTCCTCTGGGAATGAAGAGTGGGGATAAGATAGTCAAGTCAAAAGGTGTTGAAGCAGTCACACTGACTGAGGCTTCTGACTTTCCCAGGCCAGGAATGTCTAACATCTACATTGAGGCAAAGAAGCACCTTGTGGAGATGCTAGACAATGAAGATGAGACAACAGAGGTGAGTAGTGGACAGTTGTCTAAATCCTTGGGGAGGATACTTTCATTTCCCGAGTACAATAGTTCACCTGGCTGCAGCCCGAGAAAAAACAGCAAGGATTGCATGCTACCTTCCCAAGTGAGGGAGCCTCTTACTGATTCTATACAGGGAGAGAATGATGACAGACTCCAGCATGTACGAGAAGACCATGCTACGGGTCCAAGTCCATCCAGCCAAGACATAGAGATAGAATCTAGCTGTTCTGACGAGCATCCTAATGAGAGCACCAAGTCTGCCAGTACAAATCTAGAGGTTCCATGTGAAAATGGGAACACAATGGATGAAATTGCTGCTTCAACTGATCATACAAGTCCTGAAGGTATTATCTCTTGATCATCCCTTGAATCTAGGGAACATTTCATTTACAATTCACTGTTCGCCCATTTTAAAATCTATTATTGTGTAAGCAATATCTAAATTATTGCAGGAGATCTAACTGAAGAAGCAATCAAAAACAGATGCCAAGAAGAAGGTGAAATCTTTAGTGTTCCAATTGACAGAGAAATCCAAGTTGATGGTGATGCTACCAATGCAGTGGATGATGGAAACTCTCCCCATGGATTTGAATTGTCATTTGACTGCTTAAAAGAAGTAAGTAGTGATTGCTAGTACTTTTGTTGCCTACTTTTTGGTATTTATAGTGTACAAGCATATGCATTGCACATTGCACATTGTATTAAATGAACATGTAACAATATTTTTTTGTTCAATTTTTTGAAGTTAGTTATATCATATTCAAATAAGTTAGTCTCTGGGATATCACAGAAGAAAATGTTAATGAGAGCTTTCTTATCATGCAGTTTTGTTTCCTTCAACCTCCTATCTTTTAGTAAACTCTCATCATTTTATGAAAATGATAAGGTTGTAACATCTAATTGTATTTTTCATGATAAACCTTTTTTTTAAGTTCCCGGTCAATATGCGCAGCATATTTCTTTATATGATAACAATTTGTGGTCACAAATAAGATTCTAAAAAGAGAGTAAACTTTCTTGTTGTACTCTATCTATGATTTCTTACAGTAATTCCTTTGTATATATAGGTCAACAATTTTTATTTTGGTTGATTACCTTTCAAAATAATTGGGTTGTCTTAAGTTAAGATCTGTGTCTTCTTGTGGTGGTGCTAAAACAAGTTTGACTTATAAAATTATCAACTAATATGAAATGTGAACTAAAACACTACTACCTGTTATGCTAAACTAGTTCTCATGCCCGTGCGTTGCACGTGTATTTTATGCTAATTAGTACAAATTTCTTAAAATAATAGAGAAGAGATGAAGAGATTGAGCAGATGTGAGAATTTCAAAAAATGACCAAGCAAAATAAGTCCACATAATATAAAATAAAGTTTGAAGATGTAAAATGCTCAAGCAATGAACAACAAAGAACAAAAATTATTAAGAGCAAAACAAAGGTCTAAGAAACTAATATAAAAAGAATATAACTTTGTTGCAGCAAATGCGAAGGATACACCAAATATTGAGTATTTTAAAAAAGAAAGCATGTAATAATTTGAAAATGCCCCAAAGGCTAAAACTATTGATTTTATAGAAGGTTAAAGAACATGAAAAGTTTTTTTAACTGATGGAAGCTAAAAAGAAGTATAAAATAATATTAATTTAAGATGATAATGTAAGAGTAGATTAATGAATATTATTAGAGTATAAGTTATGAAAATGAAGAGGTGTAGGTAGTTATGAAGTTGATTTTAAATGAAAAGTGATTTTTTAAAATGATTTTAAAAAAACAAAATAAATTAATAGATAAGGGGCATTTTCACAATCCAACTTTTGACTTAGATTGTTCCCACTTTTAGTAATATATTCATATTTATATTTATATATATATTATGACATGATTAGTGGGACTTTAATAAGCAGCGAAAATAACATAAAGGAAGCTCGTTCCAAAAAAAAAACTCACCCTTGAAAAATGTTGAAGAAAGAATGTGCGCTTTTCTAAGGTGCTACAATATCTAAAATCATGAGTGTCTTTGTTTCAGCATCCATCTGGGGAGGATCAAAATAGTCTATCTTCTTCACCAGCCTCACCTGCAGAGTCTTCAAGCCTCAGGAAAGTTGAAGATCCTGACAGTGCAGTTGATAGAAAGGAGCGACCTAGTCCCATATCAGTTCTTGAGCCATTATTCTCAGAGGATGATGTCAGTCCTGCAAGCACCATATGCCGACCAGGTTAGACATATTTTACCAAGATTTTCTTAAACAAAAATCTATCATTTGTTTATATGCTCACCAACCTGAAATGTAGTTCAATTGCATACAGTTGATCCAGAAATTCAACCACGGAAAATCCATTTCGAAGAACCAGTGTCTTCCATCAGTGAACAAGATTGTCCAATAGTTTGTTTCGAAAATGAAGAATCCGCTTTTGAATATGTAGAAGCAGTTCTTCTTGGCTCAGGATTAAGTTGGGATGAGTTTCTCTTAAGGTGGCTTTCTTCTGACCAGATTCTTGACCCATCATTATTTGACGAGGTAGAGTTATTTTCAAGCCGTTCTTGTCATGATCAAAAGGTCCTTTTTGACTGTGCAAATGAAGTTCTTAAAGCAGTATGTGAGCGCTATTTTGGCTGCAACCCCAGAGTGTCACTCGGTAAACATAACATTCGACCTGTTCCAAAAGGGATGGACCTGATAAATGAAGTATGGGAGGGAGTAGAATGGTATATTCTCCAATATTCAGCTCCTCATTCTTTGGAGCAGCTTGTCAAAAAAGACATGGAAAGATCAGGGACATGGATGAATCTCCGACTGGATCTTGGACATATCGGAATTGAGATGGGGGAGATTATTCTGGAAGAGTTGATGGATGACACAATTTTGAGCATTTCTGGTGATACTTTGGAGTGTGCAGAAGATGTTCTCTTACCAGTCATGAGTGAAACTGAGAGTAGCGTGGACCAGTAACCAGACCTGTCTCTCTGTAGAAACTAAGAGAAGGCTTCCCTAGACTCTAGATAACGAAGTAGACCATGCTACTCTTGTGAACCAAAAATGGCTTAAAATCTTGATATCTCAACTAATCATTTCACCTCTCATCTAGGCTCTTGCCTAGAGTGCTTCATATACACTTTCTTCTCCTAGCAACACTACTTACTTTTATGACAATAGTATAACAGACTTCCATGCAAAAGCTAAGCCAATAAAGTATAATGTGTGGCACCAGGGATCAGAGAACTCCTCATTGATTCAATTGCTTTTTAAGAAATCAGATGGTGCTAGTTCCTCCTGGGGAAATTGTCATGACATGTAGAATGTGTTTTGTGTGGTTTGTTAATGTGTGTTTTACCTACATGTATTTAGATTTCCTTTTTCCTTTTTGCGTGGCAGATTGGTTGTTGAGGCTTTGGGTGTTTGACACAGGTCATCCTTTTTTAGCCCCTCTTTTTCTCTTAGATAGACTTTTCTCTTGTAAGTACAAAGTGATTGTAACTGAAAATTTCATCGAAGTAGAAAAGAAAGAAATAATATCTTGACATGGTTGTTTGTATCACTCTTTGATAGCTCATGTATCTCTTAAGCTACTGTTTTCAATTTGTTTCATTTGGGCAAAGCCATATCTTGGTATATTGAACCAAATTTGCAAAAACACTTTACTCGACTTGCCCACATAATTGCTACTTTGATAGTACTTCTGTTGTCTGTCTTTAAAAATCGAAAATCAATGAAATTCACTATGACATTGCTCAAAGGTTATGGTTGTAGTTTCACTTGAAATGAGAATATCAATGTCATTACCACGCATGAGAGGGTAAAACAAATGTTCCCTGAGTGGCACCCTCCTATTGCAACATTCACAAGCAAGTATTTGCGGCTAGAAGATTAAAGCAAGAGAGTAAAAGTGAAACAACATTAAAGCAGTAACTAGACTAATCATCACTCTTTGCCTGGTTATATGCTCATCAGAACAAACTTCAAAGTACCAAATATGTTGTGTCCTCACTGTGTTTGAGCATCGTTACAGGATAGATGTCCTTTACCATTAACTTCAATAAAATGAGAACAAAAATGAGAGAATGACATGTTTTCTAAAAGCATTTGTCACCAAAGGCACAGGCTGGATGATGGGGGAGAACATTTTGTTGAGAAATAAACATCACTGACAAAGCGAACTGCACCCTACAAAATGGCCACAAGAATATGACGGCAAAGAATTTTATACAATGGTATGACTCCAGCACATCTCGAAGTATTCATTGCTGGATGATGCGAAGTCACTTCTTCTTTTTTGCTTGCAGAGTCGAGGGAAAAGCTGCAGGCCTCTTCTTGGTAAAAGCTTTTGTTTTGCTTTCCGATTCATCTTCATCACTTTCTTCATCAACTTTCCCATCTTTGGCGGATATTATTGATGCTTCAGAGTTCTTCAATTTTCTTCTTTTCTCAGCATCCAATTTAGCACGTAGCCTTCTTTCAGCCGGGTCATTTGAGAATACTGTTTGTGATTGACGTGGAACTGCAGCACCAATTCCAAGCCTGCAAGGACCTAAGAAATTAACCTCAGGAATTTCGTCAAAATCATAGCCATGTTGAAGAAGATTTTTACCTGGGCGGTCGACTCTCTAGAACAACCACAGTTGGTTTAGCATCATCAGAAGAGTCACCCATACTGTTAACCCATTGCTCAGCCTGCAAATGAATCAACATATTCAAACAATAATAACAGTTGATATTCACTAGTTATGCATAACAGTAACAATCAGTCAAGGTACCTATACAACTTCAAGGATGTAGCTGTAGTATTTACATAGGGAAAAGAAGATATCTTGGAAAAATACTGAAGTACAATCATGCACCCTTCATGTGGTATGTAACTCACAGGAAGAACCAATCATTAGACCTTTTAAATTTTTGAACTTCTGGACCAACCACCATTCTTTCGAAGATCTGATTTAAGAAAGCTGGAATCTGAGCTTTGCTGCTTCTCCTTTTCTGGAATTTCATGCTAAGATGAAGAAGGTTAAGCAGGCTTTGACTCTATGGAGTAAAGAAGCTTATGGAAATATTTTCCAGAAAATCTCCACTCTCGAGGACGTAATAAAAGTAAAGGAGATTCAAATGGGGATAAGGCATTCAGGTCAGAACAGAGAAGAACTTCATAGAGCCCAGGCAGATTTGAGAAGGTATATGAGCATGGAGGAGGACTTCTGGCGACAGAAGGCAGGAATGAATGGTTCTAAGGAGGGAGATAAGAACACAAAGTTCTTTCACTCTTATGTTACTGGGAGAAGGAACAAATTGAGTCTCCAGAGAATACAAAATTGTGAAGGAGATTGGGTAACAGAGAAACAACAAATGGTAGAAAAGGCAGTAAGTTACTTCCAGAAGCAATTCAGTGAAGAAAAAACTGATAGAAGATATGACATGATACAGAACATTCCAACTCTGGTTACACAAGAACAAAATGTCTTTATCACAGAGCTACCAGGTATAGAGGAGGTGAAAACAGCAGTGTGAAGTCTAAATAGTAATAGTGCAAGCGGTTCAAATGGCTTTTCAGGCCGTTTTTTTCAAACTTGCTCGGACATAATAGGGGAAGATATGGTAAAGGCTTTTTCCTGTGGACATGAGATTCCTAGATTCATCACTCACACCAACTTGGTTTAAATTCCCAAGAAGAATGAGGTGAAAACATTTGCGGACTTGAGACCTATTAGCTTGAGCACTTTTGCTAATAAATTATCGTCTAAAGTATTGCATGTAAGGATCATTTCTGTACTTCCCAGTTTGATTTCTTCTCATCAAACTGGTTTTGTTAAAGGGAGAAGTATTGTAGAAAATGTGTTGCTAGCACAGGAAATCATCAGAGATATCAACAAAAGGAATAAGCACCACAACATTGTAGTAAAATCAGACATGACAAAGGCCTACGATAGGGTCTCATGGATCTACCTTACTAAGGTGATGAGGCAGTTTGGTTTCTCAGAGATTATCATTGACATGGTGTGAACTGGTATTAAGTGTTGATTAATGGTCAGTCACATGGTTTCTTTGAATCCACAAGGGGAGTGAAACAAGGAGACCCCCTATCACCCACTCTATTTATCATTGCAGCAGAGGTTTTAGCAAGAGGACTGAACAATTTATTTTATGATGGTAGATATAGAGGCTTTGGGTTTCCTAAATGGACCCCCATAAACCACTTGTCATATGCTGGTGATACCATTCTTTTTTGTTCAGCTGACTCCAGTTCTATGAAGAAAACTATTAAAGTAGTGAAGCAGTATGAAGAGTGTTCTGGACAACTGGTCAACAATTCAAAAGGTTCCTTTTATGTGCATGAGAAGATGCCTCTAAGCATTTGCAATACCATTAAAAGTAGAACAGGGATGAGAAAAGGTACTTTTCCCTTCACTTATCTTGGCTGTCCTGTGTACTATGGGAGAAAGAAGTCCATATATTTTGAGAAGCTAGTCAGAAAAATAATGAAGAGGGTCATGCAATGGCAAAACAGATTCCTATCATTTGGGGCCAGATATATTCTAGTTGCCCATGTACTGCAGTCCATTCCTGTGTACCTTCTACCAGTAATGAACACTCCAAAGGGAGTCATAAATCAAATCCATAAAAAATTTGCAAGATTCTTTTGGGGAACAACTGCAGATAACAGGAAAAGACATTGGTGGCTTGGTAAAGTTTGTGTTCACCTAAAGCAGAAGGTGGAATTGATTTTAGATCTTTGCATGATACATCTAAAGCCTTATTTGGAAAACTATGGTGGAATTACAGAACATCTACTTCTATGTGGAGTGCCTATATACGAAACAAATATTGCAAAAAGTTACACCCAGTAATTGCGCAATTAAAAGGGGCTTCACAAGTGTGGAAAAAGATGATGGAAATAAGAAAGACATGGAACATCTAATTTGGTGGTAAATCAAAACAGGAAACTCTAGTTTTTGGTTTGATAATTGGACCCAACAAGGGGCTCTGTACTATGTAGACAATGAACATGGACTAGAAGAAGAAATTCATTACGGATGGAACTTGGGATATCCAGATGTTACAGGATAGAGTTTCAACAGAAATGGTCCAACATACCATTGATAATATAAGCCCAATACTAATGGAGGTGGATAATGATAAGACATGGTGGATGGGAGAAACTAGTGGGAGATTCACAGTAAAATCAACCTGGGAAATAATCAGAAAGAAGCAAGAGCAATCCAAAATATATAACTATATATGGCCGAAAGGACTTCCTGTTAAAATAAGTTTCTTCATGTGGAGAGTCTGAAAGGTAGGATACCAACTGACAACAATCTGAAAAAGATCAACATTAATCTGGTGTCAAGGTGTTGGTGTTGTGACGATCACAAGGAGGAGAATATAAATCACCTATTTCTAACTTCTCCATTAGCTGTGAAGCTATGGAGACAGTTTACTTATTGTGCAGGTCTTCACATTGATGGAACGCAACTACATCAAGTCATATTGCAGTGGTGGATCTCTAAACAGCCTTCTAAACTACAGGTGGTTTTCTGGGCAATTCCAGCAATTATTTTGTGGGAAATATGGAAAAGAAGGAATACCAGGAAGCATGGAGGAAATACAACCTACAACAAGATGGCTTACCAAGGGCAACTGAATATCAATCAGTTAATCAAAACCAATTTTCCTTGGTTAACATCAGTACCTACAGACTGGCCTTCAGTCATACAATACTTGACAGAATACAAACCTAGATTACATCACTGTGTGGTCAAGTGGAAAAGGCCGACAAGAGGAAGAGTAAAAATCAACACAGATGGGGCAAGTCATGGCAACCCAGGAATGAGCACATGTGGTTTCTGCCTAAGGGATGACAATGAAGATTTAATCTATGCACAAGCAGGACAGCTGGGAGAATCCACTAGCATAATGGCAGAAACTAAAGCAATACATGAAGCACTGAACTATTGTCACACATGGATACACAAATGTGAGTCTGGAAACAGACTCTATGAATCTTAAAAACAACTTAACAAATGTGTGGAAAATTCCTAGGGAAATGACTCAACTAATTGAAAGAGCCAATGAATGGATGCAAGCAATACAAGTTGAGATCACACATACAATTGGAGAAAGCAATATGGTGGCAGACTACATCACCAATCTAGCATATGAGCACGAAGGGACCATGCATTTCAACAATTTTCAGGAACTACCAATCAGAGGGAAACAACCTATCAATAATGATAAATCGGAAATTCCTTACATCAGAGTCAGGAACAGGAGGATTCAAAACGATACTATCTCTGAGAATCATTGAAAAATCAAACCAAAACAACAACATTAGCGGTACAAGAACTGATCTGTTACAATACCAACACAGGGTGGAGTTTAATGGAAACAACAAAGATAAATCACAAACATAAACTTTCAAGAAAGAAGACAAAAAATAAGAAAGCTGGAAAGAACACACCGAGAAAGAAGCAGCAAGGAAGGACAAAAAACACCTGGGAAACAAATATATCGTCAGTGGACTGATCGGAAGTGGAAATGAAGGAAACAAAAATAGAGCTGACCTACAATCTTGGAAACAACAAATCGATACAGCGGGAGACATGGATGCTCAATCTTGAGAAATTCAATGGAAAAAAGTCGACATTCACAGAAGCTCCATCAGTGGGGAAATTGAAACTTGAACAAAAGGAGGAATTGGAAGAGACAAAGTCCATCAAAGACCCTAACCATCAAAAGTTTGAAAGCCGACAACAATGCTTTTACTTTATCAGAAAGATTAGATTTTGATTTACTTTCCTTTTCTTGTTTTTGTTTTATTTTTTCTTTAGCTCTAATTTTATTTGGTCCAGATCCATTTGTGGGCTGACCAAACTTTGTTCTTGTTCTTTATAGATTTGAATGAATACAATTGGCCCACAGTGCCATATTTAATTTATAAAACGGAAAAGGGTCATATTTGCCCTTGTACTCTTAGAAAAGGGTTATATCCCTTTGTTATACTTTTTGGTTATATTTGCCCCTGCCATCCAATTTTTGGTTTATATTTACCCTTTCAGTTGTTAAGTTCCTCACCACTCCCTTTTATTATCCTATGTGACTCCTACGTGGCACCTACATGGATATAATCTTCTCTAATTTTATTATTACACCTCACCCCAAAGAATTGAAAGTAACCAAGTAAAAAAAATGTTACTGTTCTTTTGCTCTAAGTCACTGTGGTGCATATGTTCCTTTTCTTACATTTAATTACCCAAACTCAAATTCCTCAATTCAAATCTATTTTTTACTCAAAATCCATTTTGAGATTCTCAATTTCAGTTCCAATGGCACCGAAAGCAGAGAGAAAAGCCAGCAGAGAAGAAGCCAACAGAGGAGGGAAAGGTTGAAAAAAACCCCAAAAGCAGGGAAGAAGTTACCAAAAGAATAAGGTTTTTCCGGTGCTGATAAGAAGAAGAGATCTAAAAAGAGTATTGAAACTTACAAGATCTATATCTTCAAGGTTCTGAAACAAGTTCACCCAGATATTGGAATTTCAAGCAAATCTATGGGGATTATGAACAGTTTCATCAATGATATATTTGAGAAAGTTGCTCAGGAGTTTTCAAGATTGGCTAGGATCAATAAGAAGCCTACTATTACTTCAAGGGAAATTCAGACTGCTGTTGGGCTTGTTTTGCCTGTTGAGTTGGCTAAACATGTTGTTTCTGAAGGAACTAAGGTTGTTACTAAGTTTACTAGTTCTTAGATCTAATGGGTATTTGGGGTTATTGGTATTTTGGGGAATGTAAAGGTAGTTGCTTATATGTTTGGTTGAAAAATCTATGCTAGATTTGTAGCTTTTGGTGGTACTTGAATGTAACAGTAATGAATATGAATGAATGTGTTTTTCTCCAAAAAGAAGTAATTATTTTGCTGCAACATATAATTCATATTTCACATCAAGTTCTTGGGCCTTGGGGTGGTGGGTGGGTGGGTTAGGGAAGGGAATTGGCTTGTGTTTCCAATTATTTCCCAAGAATTCGGTCTTCCATCTCAAAACAACGCATTGCTCACTAGAGAACCAACTCTTGTACAAGCAGATTGGGTTTAAACACTAGGATGGCCAAATTTTTGGAAATAATTGGAAATGTGTTTTTTCACTTGATTCCTTTCAATTCTTTGGGCGTGAGGTATAATAATTAAATTAGAGAAGATTATATCCATGTAGAAGCCACGTAGGCTAATAAAAAAGGGGTGATGTGGAACTTAACAGCTAAAAGGGTAAATATGAACCCAAAGTTGGATGGTAGGGGCAAATACCCACTCATAGCCAATTAAACACGTCTCACTTTCATCTTAGATAGTTTAAGAAAGGACTCTCACCAATTTGAATGCCCTGTTCAATACAACCAATTGAGGACGTGAAGTTTTCTTTGATGGCTCTTCCAAGCTTGTCGTCATATTAAACCACCTAATCATCAAATCAATCATAACTGCACCATATTAGAACAATTACTTTAAAACAGAGTAGTTCTACCCAAACAGGAAGAGGAGAAGGAAACCATACCAGGTAAGATACAACAGAATGCCCTATGAGTTACTCTGCGATGGGTTCTAGACCACAGCCAAGTGAAGATTTTCTCAGCCCTGTAAAATATGCTGACATTCTCAGTGGGATCAATAATACTCACAGCAAATTGGTCATTGCCAAAACAAGTCGTGTACATCAAATGCAGAACGGCTGGCCCTTCCCTCTCCCCCCACAAAATATTCTCTTTCTTTTCTACAGTTTATAAAAGCAAAAAATAAAGGAAAAGAACTTTTCAGAGACCAATTATGTTGTAGACGAGCGGAAAAGAGCCATAAACAAGCAGGGTGATCCATTTTCCACAGCAAGTGATCAACGGGTTTATGCATATTGTTAATCATATCATATTAGTCACATAGAAACACATAGCACTCATGTACAATAAATAACTAATAAGACATTAAAATGTAGGAGAGAGTCAGCAGCAAGACATAGAAGAACAAAAGCCTGACTCTGCAATATCTTAATCCCATATTTTCTATTGGATCTTCAGATTCTGCAAAATATCACATAATAAAAATCATTGACATAGCAAAAAAGTAGCATGCACGTCTACAATAAAATTAAATAGCAGAGCAGCCAGAAGCAAACCAGGGAAGGAGGAAAGGCTAATCAAAGTATCAAACAGACAGCATATAATTAATGAAGAAAAGAGAACCTGAAAAATAGAAGAACTGAGAACTGAAGAAGCAAGCAGTGAACAGAAGCTGAAACCTCATGAGTGATGCAGGTTCTCTACTTGTTCAAATTAGTCTTCAGATAGAGATTCTAGGATTTCAAGGTTTTTTCATCAGTTCTCTTTTCTTGCTTTAAGCCCCTGATTTTCTTCTAAAAACATAACTTGGCCTAATAAGTGTCCAATTGTTGTCCACAAAATAGAGAAAGATAAGAACACATGTTCAGAGCGTGTCTGATGCATGAACCTTGTCCAACTACACAGCCCTAAATCTGGTGCCCATGCTTCATAGGTGTAAGCACAATGTTCCCCTTGCACACCCATTTGCCCGGGGTCTGATATTACTGGAGCTCTCATAAATAATCCAGAGTACTTGTTGGTTGGAAGCACAGTGGTTAAATGCATTTTCATAGAACTTCCATTTTGATCCTAACTATCAATGCAACTTAGTCCACCGCATAAACAAAACATATGACTGGATGCTAATATCCTATGCCTATTCCTACATTTGACTCTATTTTATATTTGAAACCCAATATATGGCACAATTCTGAAGCATTCTTTCTTCACTAGGTTGAAACCTACTTTAAGCTCACAAGTAGGGCTGGGCGTTCGGTCGGTTCGGTTTGGCAAAAATGTGAAACCAAACCAAAATGAAATAAATTCGGTTCGGTTCGGTTTGGTTATTACAATTTCGGTTTGGTTTTCGGTTTAACCAAATTTAATTAACAGTGGCAAAAATTAAAGAAAGTTAATTTATTTATACTTACCAAGGATGGATAGTTGTCACTAATTTACTGTAAGCCTCATTAGGATCAAATGCTTTGATGTCCTCTACATACAAATGCACCGGAAAATAGCCACAAGCATCCTTACAGATGTACACTAACAGTAACTAAAACTCTAAAAGATGATAGACATTAGATACTCGTGACTCTACACTACTTCATGAATACTTATTTAACACAAATGTCAACAAAGTTGCCTATAAATAACTTAATACAGATAGACGCAGTACATTACAGTTCACAAATCACACAAATAATCACATAGTTGCATACTTGCATTAAATGATTAAAAATACAATAGAGGACGCAATACATGTTTTTCATATTCTTGCCATGGGTTTTCATCAGATTTTGCTCTTAATGTGTATCTAACAATTTCTTTTGTTGTTTCACTTCAAGAATCTCTAACAATGCTTACAGATTTTGCTCTTCAACTTCCTACACTGCTCTGCTACTGCCTAGTCGTGTTGTTTTACACAAGTTTCTTGGATTCCATTATTAATTTACCATCAAAATAAAGATTTCCAGATGAGAATTGGGACGCGATGAGCACTGACCTTCGAGCCGCGAGTCCCGAGCGAGCACTGAGCAGTGGCCAGTGAGAAGCGCTGCGGGCTGCGAGCACTCGGCGAGAGTCAGAGATGAGAGTTGAGAGACGACGAACTGAGAGATGAGAGATGAGAGTTGACTGTTGAGAGACGAAGGACTGGCGGGCTGTGACGAGTGACGAGAGACGACAGACGTGACACGAGAGTTGAGAGATGGGAGTTGCTGTCTGAGTTAGGGATTTCAGACTATCACTTTAGGGATTTTTGATTGGAATTGGGGCCTAATTTGAATATGGGTTGTGGGCTATGGGCTGGCTGGGGCATGGGCTGAAGTAACTTAATTAAGGGTGTAAAGAATAGATATGTATAATTTCGGTTTTTTTGGTTAATCGGTTTTTTTTTAGCTAAAAACCGAAAATCAAATCGAAAAACTGAAATACTGAAATTTGAAATCGAAATAACCAAAAAATTGAAACCGAAATTTAAAAAAAATATGTTCGATCGATTTTTTGGGTTTTAACCATATTATGCACAGCCCTAGTTATGAATATTATTAAGAATGAAAATGGAATAAATGAGTTGTGAATGTAAGACTTTTAATGAAGCAAATAAAGGAGGAATAAAAAACAAATAAAGAAGAGAGGAAATAATGCTTAATGTCTATAGTTACGTGGGAACTATTCATGGAAATGGATATCAACCTTTGTTGTTTAAATGAATATCAAGAAATAATTTTAGATTTTCTAATAAATTATACAAATAGAAAAAATTAAGAAAAATATCAAAAAATGAATAAAAAGATTAATGAAAATGATTTTTTTTTAACAATCATACTAATTTATTGTGTGTAAGTTATTATATTAATTATTATATTTATTAATGAAGAATTGAGAAGTCACTCCAAATTTCAATCATGCATTCTCCTTTCTTAGTTACATTCAATTATTCTACTTTAATTAAGAAAATAGGGGAAAATATCAAAAATAAAGGAGAGAAAAAAAGATAAATATGAATGGTGGCCTTAGAGAGGTATCACATCATCTTCTCTCTATATATATATTTTATTTTTTATATCAAAATAAAAAAAATATACTAACAATATTAAATTAATGTACTCAACTAAATAAGATAATAACTTTTTATAATTAATTTTTAAAATATTTACATATAAATAATAAATATTAGTTAATTTTAGATTTTAGATTTTGTTACTTTTTATAAAATTCAAGAGTGAGGTAAATGTTTCTATTCTATTGTTAAAAATAATAATAACATGGCATGACATTTCATTAGGAGTAAGGTTTATATTTTGAGGAAAATAGAAATAACTTGGTAATATTGTGGTCCTAAAAAATATAAAAATGATTACAAGACAAATTTTCAAACATGGATGATTATCTAAAGAATTTGCTCCCAATTTGTTTTTACGTCGCAATTCAACACTTTCTCCATCCCATATTAGTTGTATTAGTTAGTTGCATTTATATATATATATATAAAAGAAAATTTTTTCTAAACAAAATTTTGTACCTAGAAAAAAATACTATAAACAGAAAAAGGAATTTAAGAAAACTAGACCAGCAGAAAAATGCAAATGTTATAATTGTGGCGAGGAAGGCCATAAAAGTTACGAATGTAACAAGAGAAGAGTAAAAATCTCAAAAATTGACAGAACAGAAATTGATTCAGATCTGGAATCAATAAAATCAATTAAAAGTGAGGATTTCTTTGATGAAATCTATGAAGAATACTCATCCAGTTCTGAAGACTCTAACTAAATGAATAAAGAAATTCAAGAACAAAAGGATTCAGTTCAAATCTTAGAAACTAAAGAAGATCACAGAGGATACGCCCTAAAGGCAACCTTTGATGGAGAGACATTTAGAAAAATCCAAGGATTAAAACTTAATCTAAAGACAGAGGATAATCTACTAAGTAGAATGCAAAGAATGTTTGCAAGAGATAAAATTTCTTATCATGAATATCAAGAAATAGAAAAGGTAATCGAAATTACCCAAACAACAGGAAAGCACAAACTAAACCTTTTAACAAAGCCTATGATAGATCAAATTCTTAGGAAAATTCCTGAAAGAAAAAGAAAGAAAATGAATTATGTTCATTTAGGAGGAATCCAAATATTAGTCAAATCAACGTTTAAAGAAGGAATTAATTGTCCAATAATTATAAATCTATCAGATGAAAGATTTATAAATGCAAGAAAAGGAAATCTTGGTATAGTAGAGGGAAACCTAGCCTATACAAAGCTTCTATTTACATATTACCCAAAATATTGCATTTCACTCAAAGATGCTGATTTCAATGATTGCCTTGAGTTTACACTTTCAGATAAAAAGAAATGATCTATTCAAACCAGGTAATCATATAATGAGTATATATTACCAAGCGTTATACACAGTTACAAATTCAAACTATGGTAAAGTATACAAAAATAAAGAAATGATCGAAATAGATCAAGAATGTGCTGGGATAGCAAGAATTGTTGAAGCAGAAATTCAGCAAGCTCAAATTCCATATGAATACGAAATCCAGTTTGGAAAGACACAAGAAATATGAAGTACTAGTAATCCTAGACTTTCAATAGAATATGGAAGGAATTCCATTAGAAAAAGTACATCTAATAGATATCCTTTCAAAATCTTAGAAACTTCAAATATAACTAAGATAAAAGGAAGAATTTTCAATGGAACTGAATGGAAATATCAAGAAATCTTGGTACAAACAGGAGCAACTGCTAACCATGTAAAAGAAAATCTACTAGATGGAATATCAATATACGAAGGTAAACAATACACCTATAAAACCTTCGAAGGAAATAATTTTAGCTGTAAAAGTATGGTTGATTTACCCATACAACTAGATAATATAAGAATAACAGTACCATGTTATATTACAAATCACGAAAGTGATCAGAATCTAATCTTAGGAAATCTTTTCCTAAACAAATTAGAAGATTATAGTATAGGAAAAAACGGCATAGAAATGATATATAAGGGTGAAACCTGTTTCATACCAAAAATATAAAATGCCAAGAGAAACAAATTTTAAAGTTTCAGTCTTCATAGAAATAACTTTCTATGATAATAAAATTACAACTTGTTGTCAAATAGACAATGGGTCTGAAGCAAGCCTAGCAAAATCTTTTTTAATAAAAGATTGGGACATAAGAAAAAATAATATCTCTATAATTGGAATCACGGGAGATAAAGAAAAGCTAGATAAATCAAAAGAAAAGGTAGAAATAATATTAGGATCAAAAATCGTTTCTATAAATAAATTGTTTGCTTATGATAAACTGGAAACAGATTTATTATTAGGAAATGATTTTCTACAACAATTTCAGGATTATCATCAAACATTATACATGATAAGCCTTAAAACTCCCTGTGGACATTTCATAAAAGTCCCAAGAAAACAAAATCCTTACAATCTTGAAAAAGATAATGGAAAGTTCAAAAGAAAATACTTAGAAAATCTAAGAAAAATTAGTTGTAAATGTCTTAATCTAGAAAAGATTAAAGAAGAATTACAAAAATCTTATGGAGAAAATCCTTTAGAAAGATGGGAACAAAGTCATGAAAGGGCAACCTTAACCTTAAAAGACCTTAGTATAATTATTAGAGTCAAACCCATGCTTTATAATGAAGATGATAAAATTGAATCTAAAATTCAACTTAAAGAATTACTCAACTTAAATTAATAAGAATGAGTAAAAGTCCTCATATTAGTCCAGCATTTATGGTAAGAAATCATGCTGAAATAAAAAGAGGAAAAGCTCGAATGGTAATAAACTATAAAGAGCTAAATAAAAATTGCTTGTTTGATGGATATTTTATCCCAAATAAAAATAACTTAATTAATCTGGCAAAAGGAAAAACCTATTTTTCAAAATTTGACTGTAAAAGTGGATTTTGGCAAATAAAACTAGCAGAAAACTCAATACAGTTAATTGCTTTCAGCACTCCTAATGGACATTATGAGTGGTTGATAATGCCTTTTGGACTAAAAAATGCCCCACAAATATTTCAAAGGAAAATGGATAAAATATTCTCATAAAAAGAATTTTTAATAGTCTACATAGATGACATTTTAATATGTTCTAAAACATATGAAGAACATTTGAAACATTTGAAAGAATTTTCAGAAATTTGTTTAAAAAATGGAATTGTGTTAAGTCAGAAAAAGGCTGACATAAATAAAAATGAAATAGAATTCTTAGGAATGATTATTTCAAAAAATGGAATAGAACTCCAATCGCATATC